CTGCGCAGGCAGTAGGTGAGCTTGGGGTTAGAGACACTTCTGCCCTCGTTGGTATCAATTTTTATAGATTTGAAGTGGCCTGAGAGGTTTTGCTCACCCTGTTCTTTCTCCCTTGTCGAAAGTCTTGTCAATGCCAGGAACATCTCCCTGGGAGTTTGAACTTTCCTTTAATCTAATCCATTTAGAAAATGACTTACAATTTATTGAATAAAGTGGAGAAAATTGATACCTTTTCATTAGGCTGACAAAGTCTTTTTCACTGCTGGCATCTGAAATGTGTTTTCTATTTAAATTTTATTTATATCAATCTTCTCTAGTGGGAGTGAGATTAAAATGAAAGACCTTACAATCAGTGTGCCACTTTCCCATTACTGCCAACATCATGAGTGCTGGGTTTGCAAATGAACTTGATGCCAGGAATTTTCTGGGCATGATTTAGTATTCCGGATCAGTTGCAAAGCGAAATAAAGCAAAAGTGATATTTTAATATATCAATAACCATAAAAGTGATTACTTTGCATATGAAAAGAAGAAAGCATACTTAACTGACATTATTTGATTATAGTAAATCTGTAGCAATTCTAGCAAAAACCATATTAGAAAGCCTAATACCTTTGCAAAATACTTTTTTTTTTAAATTGAGAAAATACTTGTATACCAATATAGTCCTCCAAGGAGCCATTTCTAAAGTTGTAAGAAAACATAGCCAAATGGAAAAGTGTGCCTCCACCATACAAGATTACGGGTGATGCTCCTTCTCTATTGATATTTATCTCTATGTTCAGAATGTTAGAAAATAGTTACATATTGGCTTTAGAATCAGAGGAGAAGAGTGCCAAGTTTGTTATAGTGAACATGGAAGAATTTTTGGAAACATTTATGCCTCGACAAAACAAACAACTTCTGTGGTCTGTGAACTTCAAAGATACTTTTAATGTCTTGACCGTGGAATATTAAATTTTGAGATTTGGGATATATGAAATATGAAATTTACTTAATAGTCAGGGATCCTTGTGTTCCTCTTGTAACTGATTAAAAATCATATACTAGGACTGTGGAGATGGCTCAGCGGGTAATGCATTTGCTGTACAAGCATGAAGAGCAAAGTTTGAATATCTAGTACCCACATAAATGCCAGACAGGCACCCCAATGTAATCCTAGTCCTCTGGAGGCAGAGATGGGTGATGCCCAGAGCCATCTGGCTTGCTAGGCTAATGAAATCAGTGAACCCCAAGTTCAGAGAGAGAACCCACCTCAGTAAATGAAGTAGAGAAAGGTTAAGGAAGACACTCAGTGTCTGTCAACCTCTGGCCTCCACGGGCAAACACACACATGTATGCTTGTACATGTGTAAACACATATACACACAAAATTGAACCTACACTGATGTGAAAGTACATTTAGCTGAACCTACTTCTAAAGAAAGCACCCACCCAAAGAAAGCAGGACAGTGTTAGGATCTATACTGGACTCATGAATAGAGTTATCCTAGAGTGAAATTGCAGAGTAAGCCTGGACTCGGTGTCCAGCTTAAGAAGGAAAAACTTATTGGTGACAAGAGTTTGGAGTTCTCCCTTGAGTAGCAGAAGTTGGAATATTCTGTCTCCGGAACAGATTATGCTTTTGAAAGCAGTAAATGTGCCCCAGCAACTGGTAAGATGGCTCAGAACAGCCAGTGACAAGAAGAAAGAACTCTGGTTTTCTTCCACCTTCTCATCCATGCAAAGCTACCCCTTTCTCTTATAAAATATATGCTTGTGTGTTCTACTATGAAATTTTCTTAATGATGAAATAATTTCATCAATGAGCAATACTCTTGCTGCTACCACCCTACTTATTTAAATTAGATCCACTTATCATGCTCCCGAAAGTATATTGTATCTTTACGCAGCACAGTTTGGCTCCCAATATTATCTATTCTTTACACCCCATGTAGCTCCTATAAGAAGTAGCTGAAAGTTGGAAACTGTGCCTCTTTAGTTTATGTCTAGGACAAAAGTCAATAAATAGTTTTTGAATGCATAAGGTATAATACTTTTCTCCAAATACTTTCGGGGAACAATATCACCCAGAGACATTATATCAGTCTTCGTGATTTTGTCCTACTTATTTTACATTCTTTACCTTCACCGACACCTTTCTGAAAATAAATTACCTCTGGAAATATCTGAAAAGTGCTAGAAAAAAATTGCTGGAATAATATAATGATAGCCAAACCTATCCTTACCCATTCATTCCATGGATGTTATGGAATATTTAATATTAACATATGTGTTATAATTTGCATGTTATATTATAGATATGGTAATGTATGTATATTAAAACTCATATAAATTTCCACTGGAGATCAAGCATTAACTCGTGGGTGAATTGATACATAGTACATAATGAACACACATATAAAGAATAACTGCCATCTGATGAATATATTGTTTATTATGAATTATACTAAGTAATTTATTTCATTTAAAATTCACAATAACCAGTGAGGAACCTGAGTCTTGAACCAAGCCATGTTTGAAAAGCATGTTGCTAATGAATGGTGGAATTAAGATTGAAACTTGAGGCTTGGTATCACAGACATATCATTCAGCACATACCATGGAACTTGACAATACATAATGCCTCTAGGCTAGATCATATCCTTAAATGTGTGATCATGGGAAGAGGGGATCTGGATAAATTGCAGGGGTGGGTATTCAGAGCTTTGATTTTCTGTTTGCTTTGATAAAGACAGTGACATACACAGAGTTACTACACGTCCCTTAGGGGGGGAAAACACTGCAACTCTGTTCCAACAACCACAAAAAGGCAGCCTGGAAAGCTGTCCCATCCCTGTGGAGTTGTAGCTGTTCCTTTCATTGCATGAGAGGCTGAGTAAAAATGAGAGTAGAAACCTGTCTTGATTGATGTACTTACAATCTTCTAGGGACATGAATGTGATCACATGTTCCACCACTTAATTTAGGCTCAGACTCTCATAAGCCATAAATACAAGCTTGGAGTTTGTGATACTGAAGAACAGTGGTTCTCTTGCTAACTTGTGACATACTGCTCTTCTGCCTGGAGTGATTTTATTCTTTAGAGTTCTAAAAATGATGACACCAGTGGAAATGACAGCTAAAATTTATTGAGTATTTACTAAATGCCACCGTCTGCCTCGTGTTTCAGAGCCCATTGTTTTGGGGCGCTTTTTTTCCTCTTTCTGTTTCAGATTTTATCCATTCATTTGTTAGTTGATAGCCTACCATCAGCTATTCATACCCCTCAAATAGGGAAGTGTAAGATTTCTCCTGGATGCATTTTATTTTATTTTTGAGATTATAATATAATGACATCACTTTGCCATTTTTGCCCACCATCCAAGCCCTCCCATGTAACAACCTTACTCTCTTTCAAATTAATTGTCTCTTTTTCTTTAATTGTTTTCACACACACACAAACACACACACACACACACACACACACACACACACACACACACACACACAAATTATATTGCTCCTAAATATGTAAATCCAACCTGCTCAATCCAGATACTGTTGCTTGTATGTATAAAACCAAATGGTTAGCCCTGAAAACATATGCATACAAATTGCCTGATTTTGAAGTGTGACACTTAGAACTAAGAGGTGGGTGCATTGTTCCACTGTGCACTGCCATGAGAGGGGCAGCTAAAGTGTTGGAGTTCCTGACCACACTGTTTTCTCCAGTGCCTCTGACACTGTTACCTCTGCACTTCTTAGGTGTTCTACTGCAGGAACCCTACATCAAGCCTTTGTATTAGTTAGGCATAATGGCAGTGCCTGCTTTCCTGGATACTTGAAAGGCTGAGATAGGGAGGTAGCAACTTCAAGAAGGCCCTGTCAGACAGAGACCAACAAAGAAAACCACAACCAATCGAAATGCAGAGGCGTGGAGCTCAGCTGAAGTGGATACGTCTATAAAACTCTTCCACACCTAAGTTTCAGGGAACGTTCTGAAACAGAGCACAGAAAGATTGGAAGGATCAGAGAATCGGGGACTTTGGCATGAGATTTTGGCACCTACTCACATCAGAAGCAACACCCATAAAGTCTCACCAACATGGCTGTCCAAACTGGGGCTGAACCAAGGCAAGAACTATTGATGTAACCAACCGTTTTATTAAATAAGAAACACAGAAATAATGCAAAAGAGAAAGCCGAGAGGTCAGAGCTCAGAGCCAAAATCTCACCCTTCCGCCTGCGGTGTCCCAGCTTCCCGAATGAGGGCTCTATTTCCTGTCTGTTAGTCTATTTAAAGAGACAGAACA